CTTCAGCCGAGGTAGGCATGTCCCCTTCTCTCATTCTGTTTCTGTTCGACCACCACATCCACCAAAAGGTTAGCACTAGTAGTCGCTTTTTTTCATCAAGACCCCACAGAAAATCAAGCATGAATCTCTTGCGCTCCGCACGAACCTGGCCCGGCGAGGCATCCCCATTGAGGACACCAAATGTCTGTTTTGTGGCAAGGCCGATGAGGATGGAGCGCACCTATTCATCAAGTGCAAAAACGCTAAGGAGGTCTGGAGGGAACTTGCTACGGAGAAAGAGAGGGCTGCCCTAGAGCGCATCACGTCCGTGCTGGCGCTCTCCCTCCTCTGCTGATATAGGTACGGGCCTCGGCAGGCAGGGGCAGTTTCTTGGTGTAGATTTTGGGGCTTTGCTCATGTCGAGTAGGGGATGGCCGAAGAAGGAAGGGGGTCTTCGTGGAGAGAGGCAGGGCTGTCCCTTGTCCGCGATGGCGCCGTGCGGTGTGTCCGACGGCTACAACTTGGGCTGCCGGAGCTCCCCTCACATAGATCTAGCCGGCGCGGCCACCTGTCTTGCCAAGATGTTCACTTTGGGGTGGGGGGGGGGGGTCTTCTGCCCTTTTCTGGTCGGGCGCGTCTGTATGGTGTATCAATGGCCGAGAGGTCTCGTATGCCGGGGCGGCGGTCCTAGTGGTAGGAGCTGGCGTGCTCATGGACGGAGCACGCGACTCAAGCGTTTTTCGATGACCATGGCCATGCAGGGGGTATGACGTTCGGTGGTGGTGGTGAGGTAAACCGTACCACATTTTATTGATGATGAGTATAGACGGGGTGAAAACCCATTCTGACTTGTCTAGCCGCCGGCGGCGGCATTCTGGCGCCGTCCCTTTCTTGAAGGTGTTGTCGCGGTTACTCATTGTTCGTCGTGGTGCTAAAGGAAACCCTGATCTTTGGATTGGGCGGTGGCGGCTTTCTGGTGTACTTCCCTTTTTGAAGGCGCCGCCTTAGAGCCCATGGTTTGTCATGCTCAGACTCTCTCATTGCGGTGGCTTGTCCACAGTTAAGGGCCTCAGCGACTTCATAGTGATGCTTCTTGTGCAGCTGATGTTTGCTTGGAGTTGTTTGGGGTGGTGTTGCTTTTTTAATGTCTTTGTATCCAGCTTTGGGTGTGTGCTATGTTGTGGTGGCGTGAGCTTGTATTGGATTGCTCGGTGATGGTTGCTTTATATATAAAATGGAGGAAACCTTTTTTCGTCTCGTTCTAGTAGCAAGTGTTGTATTGAGTTTTGCATGCATGGTCTGTACCAGTGCTATACCGGTGTTAGGGCAACTCCAACGCTTACCCCAAACGGACGTTCGTTTTGTCCGAATTTCGTCCGTTTGGGGGTGGCAATGTGGTCGTGTCTGCCCAGATTTGTGTTTGCGTCGGCCGAGCACCGAACGCGCGGCCACATCTTCTGCCCCATCTCGTCCACCGGAGGCCAAGTACAATAAAATCAAGCATAGAAAAAATTGATTAAATCAAACATATAACAACATGTTTAAAATAGTCTTTTATTACAATCCAATTAAAATATTAAAAATATCAAATAGTCTTACAAAACCACTCAAATTTTGTGCACACGAAAAGAGATTAAACCGATAGATCTACTGATTGCCAATGTGGTCCCACATGTGCTCAACCAAGTCATCTTGCAGCTGCGTATGAGTGTTTCGATCACGCATCTCACGATAAAATTGGACAAATTGTTCAAAGGTTGCAGGAGGTGGGTTCTCAGGCTCAACATTCTCACCCTGGAAATCAAACCCTTGGTTGTAGATGCTGCCATCATACTCATCCTCGATGATCATGTTGTGCATGATCACACAAGCAGTCATCACCTCTCAAAGCTTCTGAGTGCTCCATGTCAATGCAGGGTTTCGAACAATACCCCATCGAGACTGAAGCACGCCAAATGCATGCTCCACATCTTTCCTAACACTCTCCTTCATTTGGGCAAACCTCTGTCTCTTCTCTCCTTGCGGATTGGGTATGGTCTTCACAAGAGTGGACCACAGGGGATAGATATCATTAGCTAGGTAATATCCATTATTGTAATGGTGGCCATTGATCTCAAAGTTGACCTCCGGGCAGTTGCCTTCTGCAAGCCTTGCAAACACTGGAGAATGCTGAAGAACGCTAATATCATTGTGATAACTAGCCATGCCGAAGAAAGAATGTCATATCCACAGATCTTGTGAACCACAGCTTCAAGTATGACAGTGGCACCTTTTACATGTCCCTTGTACTGCCCCTGCAAAGCAAATGGATAGTTCTTCCACTTCCAGTGCATACAATCGATACTACCAAGCATGCCCGGAAAGCCCCTCTCGGCATTAATCGTCAACAACCTCTCTGTATCAACGGCATTTGGTTATCTCAGGTATTCAAGACCAAACAGAGCCACCACGGCCTTGCAGAAACTGTACATTGATTAGAGACAGCGTGGACTCACTCATATGAACATACTCATCCACAAGGTCACCAGGAATTCCATATGCAAGCATGCGAATAGCCGCAATACATTTCTGGTAAGAAGAGAAGCCAAGCTT